CCCCCCGTGTATTCTCTTTTAAGTAATAAAATTATTTGATTACCTATCAAAAAAAAAAAATTGTACAATTTGTCCTATATTTATAGGCAAATTATCCCTATTCCTAATAGTAATAGGAGATTGAAATAATGAAATTATAAAATTAATAAAACTCTAATCTAATTAAACTTCTAAAAACTATAATCTTAATAAATAACAAGAGTCATATTACAAGAAAACAAAAAAGAAATCAAACTCCTAAAAATGTAAAACATCTTAGTAGTAGGAAACTAATTGTTGTTGCACTACATCAGAATGACATTTAGAAAACCTAATAAAATTGTAAATTAATACAAATTTTATCCTTTAAGCTTGAAAAAATAACGAAGTTGGCTCTTTTCTTAATATTTTGACATTAATGGATATGCTATTTGCTCGTATCTGTTAGAATTATAATCAAATGATTTTTTTCTCCTTTGATTCTACGCTGATATGTTTTGCCTATTGAGCAACCTTATTAGGCTCCTTGGGCAACACATATAATGCTCACTATAGTCTTTAGTGTTTCAACAATTTGGAATAAATCCTTGTAAATTTCCTCTTTTGAGGATTTTTTTTCAAATATTGACAGCTTATATGTTGTCAGGGTATCTGTTTGATGATTACTGTCCTTCAATTGGCTCAATTACCAAACATTAAGGTATGCCAATGGCGAAACTTGGTTTATACATTGCTATGATTTTGTGTTATCATCTGATAATATTTGTTTTCCTATAGGTTGCTACAGTACTTCTATGCTGTGCTTTTCTCTACGACATCTTTTGGGTTTTCCTATCACCGTTGATATTCCATGATAGCGTCATGATTGCGGTGAGTTGTCATGCCATTTTCCATGTCTATTTCTTTCATATCTAACAGCTGCAACTTTATAAGTGCAAAAACGTCCTATAATGTGTGGCTTTTTCTAGACGTTCTACTATGGAGGCGCTTTCGGGTGACTATTGGTCTCTTCTTTTCAGATACTTACAAACATCTTCACGTGTTTAAAATATAAAGCATGTTTGAGCCCCCTTTTTTTTGGCTAAAAATACGTTTTGGAATAGTAGATTGATGGAGAATGTGTGGTTAAAAAAAATAATAAAAAATTTTGAATTTGCATATGAAGAATGTGTGGTTGAAAAGAAGAGAGAGAGAAAAATGTATTTTGAAAATAATGTGGATCAAACAAGGGCGTCATACTGCTGTTTTCTTTGTGTATCTATTCGAAGTTAAAGTTCTATTGCACCTTTGAGAAAGAGATAGTAGACTCGTGATGTTGAATCATTTATGAACAATTACAGAAAAATGCTTGTCTATAAAATGAAGCTTCATTGACTTAGTGCCTCCCTTTTCTTCTCTTGCCCCTGCATCTTATGTGTTAACTAATTAATCTGAGCCTTCATCAGTTGATCCTTTTGAAGAGCTATTTTAATCCATGGTTTTGAAGGTTTGTCATTCTTACTTTTTCGACTAATACGGGTGACCTGATGGATTATCGTTCAAAATCCTTAATTGGTTTAGTTTTCATGGCAGAGATGTGAAATATGTGATGACTATGTGTAGGACATGAAACAGTGAAGTTTTGTTTTATTTTATTTTTCTGTACTTCCTTGAAAAGTTCTTGATGTTTTACTTTCTATCCTTGGTTGTTCCATGCTTTAATTGGGTTATGAACGTCAACTTAGCTTAATAGTGGATTTCAGATTAATTTTTTTTCCTCCTCTTCAATATCGGAGGACATTCTTTCAAACATTATAAGGTGGAACATCTTTTGAAGATGTAAATGTTTCCACCACCATTAGTTAGGAGTTTGAAGAGTTCATAATTTTTGGGATGAGGTAGTCTGGACTACCATTTCCTATTTGGCGATTTCCCCCTTTTTCCTCTTGGTGAGAATTCAATAGTAATATATAAGCATGGCCAGTACAAAACTATAAAATTTCTGTCCTAAAAATTATGGCCACTTTCTGTAAACTTCGCAGCGTCAATAAAGAAAATTATATATATATTTTTAATTTTTGTTTACTGTAATCATTTGATGTTCCACCTGTTGGTTATTCTCAATTCCATTTTAAGTTAATCATAGAGCTTTCAGGTGCTTTGCAATCGTAATTGGCGCTCTAATGTTTAAATGGGCTTCGAAAAACATTTTAGGATAAAAAATAATAACCTAACTGGAGTGTACCAGAAAAAACTTTATAGCCAATGTTCAAATTGAAAATAAGATGCAAATCATCCATTACAATGCAAAAGATTGAGAAAAATGATGTGTAATGAGGAGAAATGTAGGCAACTATCCATGTGAGACAACCTTCTTGTTAATTTCTGTATGATACGGGCGTTTGGATGTGCTGGAGAGATTTGCATTCTTGCAATTGAATCTCTTGGTGAATGCCTCTCCCACCCGGGCCACCCCAATTAAACAAATAAAGAAATAGTACTAAGCCCTTCTATCCTCACTAGGCTTCTTATGAAGGAAGTACTATTTTCAATTTATATAAACGTCTGACTAAAAAGATATCTTTATATAGCTAATTTGTCTATTAGAAGTTAATCACCCCTGTAGTGCACCAAAGAAGGCATCATATCCTTTCTCTCTCTCTCTCTCTCTCTCTCTGTATATCTCTCTGCATATTGACACCAGAACTCTCATTTGTTAAAAGATCATATAATCTATCACCTTTAGCTTAACCTGCTATGAAAGAAAGGTGAGCCAAAACCGTGTTATGTTAACTTGTTCTCCGTTGCTGTTAATTGTGCTGAGTTCGTGAGAGAAAATCATTTTCTATAGAAGACATCTACACTTTTCAAATTTTTTCATCCCTTTCTTTTTTATCCAGTCACAGTTGGCGTAAACAATTTATTTTCTTTACATCAAGACACTAAGAAACTACCTTAGAGGGTATGACTTGCTCATGCTTGTCAATTTCCATATCAGTGTATGGATGTGCACACTTTCCTCTGACCACTCCCTGAAGAACCTATTGGTGCTATAATAATAGGGTGCAATTTGGTTTTGTTATTGTTAGTTGCTTTTATGATTAATCATTTCGTTGAACATTATTCATGCTGCTCTTTTTGCAATTCTGTCTAATTTAATTCCATGCAAGTATTGACGAGTTTTTTCTCCTGTTATTTAGGTTGCTTCAGGCAACAAAAGTGGTGGTGAATCCATCCCAATGCTTTTGCGAGTTCCTAGGATTTTTGATCCATGGGGTGGTTATGATATGATAGGCTTCGGGGATATTCTATTCCCTGGTTTGCTAGTTTCTTTTGCTTTCAGGTATTGCTTGTAATGCCTCGGCCACCCAATATTTGATAAGAAAGAATATCTAATATTTATGCAGGAAATTCCTTTGTGCATGTTTTAAATCTATAGATCTACCTGTAAAGGAGGTTGCATATTTCATAATCTTTGATACGCATACATCTTTGTTGTCATGCTGAACTTGGCTATCTAACCTGTATAAAATTCAATTCTTTTTCACTTGTGACATTGTTCAGTTATCTGATACATATGATTATAAAACATAAGAATACTTATGTAGTCAGTATGTAATGGATAAACAAATTAATTAAATATTTTAATTGAGACAATGAATGTTGTTGGTCTTTGATAGCAGCTGTTGAGTAACAAAATCCATTTATGGATGTTTATTGCAGATTCGACAAAGCTAAGAAGAAGGGGCTAGTAAATGGATATTTCCTTTGGTTGACAGTTGGCTATGGAATTGGTGAGTATCTTTGCCTCGAATTCTTCCTTTGCTCGGACCGTTAGCATATACATTAGACAATTTATTATCCATCACATATCCTATTAATGTATGGAATCTAATGGAGACATAATAGCCTGGAATTGTCTATCTTTTGTCAATGTTGATATCAGTCCTTCAATGTTGCATACATATCCCAACGCATATTTTGGACGCTGAGGATAGAGAGAAATTTTGCATTTCTTGAGGGGATTGAAAAGATCATTTAAGCACTGAAGGCTGATTTTGCTAATACACTTCTTGTTTTGGTGGGTCAATGAACAGTATCCTGATCAATTGTTAATCTTTCACGGAAGTTTATGGACAGTTTTCATGTACATTTAGCTGATTAGACGAAATTTCTGAACTGATTGAAACCTTGGACCTTGGTTCCCATTTGATAATCTTTTTCACTAAAAGCAAATTAACTAGATGAGGAAACGAATTGACACTTTTATGTTTTCAGCAGATTCCGATGTACTTCCAATGGACAATCCAATGGCTCCTTAGTAATGATTATCAGAAAATAAGGAAGCAAAACGTACGGACAAAGGTCAAACATATTGACATAAAGAATACAATATTGAAGATGATGAGAGCTCAGTTGTGATGACCCGAATCCTTAACGGTTTGAGTGTCACTAAACTAAACTAATTTAAAGAATATTCAACATAATCATATAAATTATTTAAGTACTTACAAAAATTCAAATAATGTAATGAATTTAATAAATTAACTTGGAACGAGAAATGTCTTAAAACAGTTAAAAATCAAATGAAATAATAGTTTGACAACTTAATAATTCTATTATTGAAACTATTTCCACCATAAGCCATCTTCTTGACGATTGTCTCGAATTGTCAATTATCTAAAAGTATAAACATGATGGGGTGAGAATAAATTTTCAATAAATGTGCGTGGATAATGAACCCATGTGTATTTCTATGGAAAATTCATAACTTGTATAGGGGGAGACGAAAATTAGACCGAACTTATATGGTGCTAAATTCTCGTGCATAGCGCTACTAAACTCCGGTCCATTCTTGATAAAACATACGTAACATGAACCAAACATAACATAGCCCTAGAAATGTTCATACATAAACATTAGCCACTATAAACATAAAATACAATTTACTTTTTTTATTGGACAATTCAAAATGATAAAATGAGTTATTGTTGAAAAGTGATCATTGAGCAGCTTGTGGAGTTGATTATTTCCGTGTGATTGTATAATTATACGATTATATTTAATATCAAAATGACGAGAGAGAGGTAGTGGAGAGACAAAGTTATGGAGGTAGAGAGGGAGAGTGTGTAAATAGTCGTTGAGGAGTAATTTAGTGTTGGATGTCTCCTATTTATAGTGAAAATCCTTGACCATGTGTGGAAAAGTGAAAGGAAATGGCTAGATATTAGACATGGTAAATGCTTAAATGGTGTGTTGTCATGAAAATGATAAAATCAATAGCTTAAATCATGTGGTCATATCAATTTAGCTTAAAATTAGGTGCATGTGGTCAAATCAATTTCCTTTATTTATGTGGTCAAATCAATTACATTGGCTTGAAATGTGGAGTGAATAATGCATGTGGTCAATAAATCATTATTAATCAAGACCAGTTAGCATATTTACATATGTTTTATGCATGATTTCATCTAATTTTCAAAATAACTTTCTACATAGGCCCTCAACTATTGGTTAATAACTAATAAGGTCATTTAACTTTAATAATAGCACACTTAAGTCCTACATTTAAATTTAATTCGCAGTATAAAAATTTGGGAAATTACATCAGTTGCGAGCATAGATAGTTTGGAATTGGTTGTCTCCTTCTGACATCCTACAACTATACACCTAGGACAAATTATATAGACTTTCCAAGTGATCTTGTTTTCGTGGCACGCATGAATATCCCTATGGATTTACAAATTTGATTAAAATTGTGAGGTGAAATTACTAAGATTCGAGGAGTCCCTATGAAGTTTGAACTAGGGCAAAGCCCGTTACTATCAACTAAGTGTAAAATGGGATGAGGCAAATGAAGAGAATGGATATGGGAAGAAGAGAGTGTCCGAAACTTCTCACCAATTTTTTATTTTTATTTTTTAAAGATTTTTTAAAGGCATATCATATCATCAATTCATACTCAATGTGTCTTTAGGCTTCACTAAAGAAGGATGATGGGGGTCAGGATGCCTCAACCAAAAGACATATGGAGCTCACAAGAATAAATAGGAGTGAAGTGTAAACCTGACCTCCAAAAAAGCAGCAAGTGTAAGGAAAACAATAAATAAGGAGGTACTACCTCCCATAGAAAAGGAAAGTAGCTAAAGTAGACCAGAGACATTTACAACTAGGGATATGGAGTCTATCAATCTTTAATAGAGCTTTTAATCTTCGAGGAAGGTCTAGGGGGCCATACTTTGCAAACTACAGTGGCAAGTAAGTTAGCTACTTGATTCCCTTCTGATATATGTGGGAAATTATGTCTAGATCAAGTAAAAGATGATGTCTGTTGTGTTGAGAGTGCCATGATATATGTGGGAAATTATGTCTAGATCAAGTAAAAGATGATGTCTGTTGTGTTGAGAGTGCCATGGATAGATCACAGTTGACCTTTGCGAGTGATGCAGTGAACAGCAAAATAGGAATGCAAACTGTCCTTGATGCAGTTATCAGTGTTGATTTTGTGAGATCCCACCGATGGAGTGTGCTAGCAAACTAAGATATGGGTGATGGGGAAGGAGGCTTAAATAGATACCAAATAGTGGGACAATGTCTAGATCCCCTTGCCAATGGATGGACCGAAATAAACGGCATATATGTAAAAGAGAAATAGTGAAATAGATCCTTCAAGTGATGCATCGAGGCTCCATAGCAATGACCCTACGCTTCTCTTCACTTGTGTCCCTATGCTTCTCATCACTTGCAGTCCAAATAAACCAAAAGATCAGCAGATGAATGATAGTGCAAATGTGGTCATAATGTACAAATTGGCTTTGAGAATCGCCATCTCTGGAAACGATGATTAAGTCTACAAGGAGGCCTTCTGGTTTATTTGTCAAAAATGAAATGACGAATATGGAGTTAACATTGTTCTTACAATAGATGGAGAGAAAATTAATGAGTGCACGTACGTCTTGTGTGAAATAATACTGATCTAATTCTAGGCATTTGCTTGAAGCTTTATCATATTTTCCGTTCTTTCTATGTATGCTTTCTGATATTTAGTTTGGGATTTTTTTATTTGAGTAGCTGTCTAGTTCTGTTTTTATTTTGGCATCCATGCTTTACCTTTCGGTTTGATTCTGCTGCTCTGAAAATGTGGCCAGATCGTTTTCTTCGAAAGATCTGATGTATATGAGCAAATCAGAGCAATGGATTGGAAATTTAAATATTTGATGAAACAGGCAATGATATATATTTGGTGGAACAAGAATTCGCTGCTTATATGTTTGATGTGAAGAAAGGTTGTTTATCTACACACGTGCAATAATGCATTTTTCTCTTGCATTTGAACATTCGTCAAATGTAGCAGCTCATGTCTTTGCATAAGGGTGCGTTTACTGTTAATTAATTAAGAAGAAATTTGTCATTAGCACTAGTAAAGTTGAGGTAGTGACTAAGAGGATCAGTGACAAGGTAATTAGGGATGGATATTTTAATTTTCTTATTAGTAATCTACTATACTGAAGTTTGTCACTTTGCAGTTGATTTTTGAGTCATTTGTCTCAATAAATCCCACAAGATTGTCTGAGTGCACTGAAGTGAAATTTCACAAATACTTGAGCCCTGAGGTTACTTTCCTTGAGTTTTTGTGCTGGAATTAAAACACAGCAGGTTCATGATCTAATTTGATATGGAGAAGATGCAGGAAAAACTTGTATGGACATGCTTCAATGCCTTTTTATCTTTTTAATCATATATAACAATTTGATTGTCTTTTTATGTTTCACTAAGTGTCCATCTTAAAGTTTTCTTTTCAATTATGCTTGCTTCATCAATGTTCTGTTTTTTGGTTGACTTTTATGTATGAAGTTCCTGTAGTTGTTTGGTAACTCAACCCAATTTCTAGTTTACCAATTTATTTTTCTGTATGTGAAAAGAATGACCAATAGTTTACCAATTTATTTTTTATGGAGCATTTACTCGACTTCCGTATCATCTTACTGCAGGCCTCTTGTTTACTTACTTAGGCTTGTATTTAATGGATGGACATGGTCAACCTGCTCTCCTCTACCTTGTTCCATGTACCTTGGGTATGAATCAAGACTACCACTTCAGTCTATCTTTTAATGTAGAAGTAAATTTTATTCGAGCATTTAAAATTTGTTCCTTGTTTTTTCATTTTTTAAATCTTAGGACTCTGTATCATATTGGGGTTGGTAAGAGGTGAGCTAAAACAACTTTGGAGTTACGGCATTGAGTCAACACAACCCACTGTACCTTCTGAGGAAGCTTGATGCATTATGTTCACTAGAAGAATTCTAATTACAATGATGGGCTATCTATGTACAAGTTTGTCCTATGATGGTATACAATTAAGCTTTGTAGATCAATACAGGTGAGAACTGAAATCATAAACAGCATTCATCTCCATTTAAAGGTAGTTCACCCATGTTACGTTTACGTGCATCTATATTTTTGTTTGCCCTTTTGATTTATTCACCATATTATACTTGTTGTTGCTGCTTTTTTATGAGAAATATTGTTACATAATCAGCATTGTAATGATCCTTGTGACAAAGGTTGTCTGGTTCACAGATTCTAGATAATCTTAGCTAATGAAGCCAAGGTTCTAGGAAAGTCTTGTTGCTTTGTTATGTTCTTTAGTTGTTAACTTTTTGTCTTGTCAGTCACAAATCTATTCTTCCTGAAAGATTATCCTAGATTTTATTGTAAATAATTTTCACATAAGATGGCATATAAGCCCCCTTTCGCCCCCCATTAATTTCCATTCCATTGCATTTCATTTTTCTCTCTCCTATTTTCAATCACACGATCTTTCATAAAATAATATTACACGTAACTCAAAAACTTTTCCTTCTTTTTCAACTACTCATTTTTCAAAAAGCCAATACTCTACCCATTTTCATTTTCACAAAATGGGGGCCAAACGGGGGCAAAGTTTGCTGTTGTTTGGGCTAAAAAAAATAAACATTTGAGTCTTATTTCCTGGATGGCTCGTGTCAACTTTAGAGATATTAAAGAAATCAAATTTCTCTGGAAAAAAATCAATTATTGACTCGACTCCTATTGGAATAAATAATAGATAGGAATATAGGTAGCCATATCCTTGAATTTCATTGTGAATTATGAGAATTCTTGCCTTTTAGAGAAAAGGGCAAATACAAATCATCCATTGCTTTGATTGAAGACCCTTTAATGCTTCCATCATTTTTGACAGATGCTCTTATTAACTCTAATTTCTGCAGCCTTTTTCTTCATCTCCTCCTTTACCTCCTTCACCCATTACAATATTTATTACCCTCTTCACATCCTCTTTGGTAATAATAGACTGTAGTCCCCTGGTTAACTCTATGGACACACCCAACAGCCCTGGTATAGAATCTCCATTATTATTTGCACCCCCTGGCTTAAACTCTCCATTATTGAATTCTGTACACAGTGGCTTGAAAATGCACCTGTTGATTTGTGACATAGAATCTCCATCTGGGGTGCCCATTTGTGGACTACAAGTCCTTGCTTTGTTCTTGCCATTCTTTCTTCGAACCGTCGTGGCAGCCATTCGTGTTCGAATTCACCATTCATCTTATTACCAACCGGAGGCCTTATGACCCAAATGAATGCATGTTCACTCTCCTCCTAACCCATAGCTAATGCCATCATCTGGGACGTGGATGGTGTTTTGGGAACCAACTGAGATATAGAGAACAGACTGTTCTGAATGCATATCTAGCCATTCTATGCATTTCTCAGGAGACACTCTGGGTTGTCGGCCTGCATGTTTCCCGAATACAAGTGAACTCTAACCTGAACAAGAGTGTTTGCTTAGCACTCTTGGTGGGAGGAGAGGTCCAATGCGCCAAACACGAAGCCTTGTGTATTTTCTAAGTATATCTAAGCCTAAAGGTTCTCTATCTTCAGCTGAATTGCACAACCATCCAAAAGAGCCTAAAGAAAGTGAGATCTGAGGCTAAAAGAACCTGGACCATGGATCAGTACCATCTGCTTCTCTCAGAAGTTGATGAAGTTGGGAAATATGGAGTCGGCACGAATCAGGAAATCCCGGTAGGCGAAACTCATCTTCCCCAATTAACTTGTGTGAGAGATGCTACCATAAAGAGGCACCTCCTGTGGTGAAAGTCACGTTCTAAGTTCCACAAGACGTATTGTAACGCCCCGAATTCTTGGAACTCTAAGCGTTAAAATAATATTCGTTCCTTTATTTGGTTTGACCCCTTTGACGCTAGCCAAAGTATTTTATTAATCCAATTTATTTTTTTTAAAATATATAAAAATATAATGGAAGATAGTTATCCATATAAACTTAGGTAAATGTAGCAAAATTTGATTTGTAAAAGATTTGAAGGCAAATCGACAATTACGGATTTAACAACAGCGGAAAGAAAATATATTTGACCTCGCAAATGTCTATTAAAATTTATGAAATTTTTACAGGGACTAAAGCATTTATATATGTACCACATATAAAAATTTGGGATTTCGACGATAACGTTTGAAGCACGAAAATATTACTTGAATATGCTGGACAAGAATCTCGGATTCGACACGACGCAGTTTACTAAAATAGGCATAACTTTTTTTTTAGATAATATTTTTGAGAGATTTCTAAGGACATTATTAGAAGACTCGTAGACATTTCAAACCCCACTGATTTCACTTAAAAACATACAACGTAGTCCAAGTTATACCATTTTCAAATAGAAGGACATAATTTGAAATTTAACCCAGCATAAATTTAAACTTCATACGTGTTCAATCCAACACCTCTAAATTCTAATTAACATGCATCGTCTATGAAACTAGACAAAATAAACATTAAAACATTTCTAAAAAGTGTCATCTAAATATCCATAAAATATTTACATAAATAGAAATATTTACTAGAAATTAAAAGCATTAGAGATCACCGAACACTTGCGACTATACCAACCACTACCATGCCTCGATCTTAACCTGTAAAATTATTTGTAGGGATGAGTACTATAAATAATACTTAGTAGGAAGCACTTAAGTAAATGGTAAAAAAATATATATTTTCAGAAATGCAAACTTTAATTGATTTTGTTATCGTCAATTTCTAGCGAATTGGTGATCAGGCAAGTCCGCTTACTTGTAGGTTTGATAACCCCATTTCATTTATCATAATCATTTCTTCATATAAACCAACAAACGATGATTCCATTTCTTGTGTAAACCACCAAACAGTGATTCCATCATGAGTAACACAATAGTAAGTTTAATGCAAACGAAAACGTATAAGTCTTTCATCACTTACAAAAGCGCCGAAACACCCCTACTTTAATGCTTGGAATTTGAATACCATTTTGGTTTCAATAAGAAGTAAAAATGCACCGTACTTCCTTGCCTTGAATAAAATTTTTCAGATA